TGCATATTCATAATCATACATATATTGTACATTTACTCACAATTAATGTGCATTTACTGTAGTTTTTATAATTCACAGATTTAACCCACAAACTTGATTGCAATATAATCAAAATCCATAAAATTGCAAATAAGTCCCTTATAATTATCTAATTTAGAAAATGAAGCCCTTTAATACAAAAATTTCAGCTTTCCGATGATCTCACACTACCCACCGCCACGAGCAATGGAGAGTCGCCGGCCGAACACGTTCCACTGCCGTTCGGGCTGCCGCAACTCCGGGAAAACCCGAGTCTGCCATGGATGGAGCTGAAAGGAGTTTCATGCCGGACCACCACGACTGACGTGCCATCGCTCTGGATGTTGATCCGCAGCCACTTCTCGATTACCTGTCCGCCATTTAGTTGTCGCAGGCTCCAGTCAATTCAACGTTCATCGGTGTCGGGCGCGTTCTCGCCGGCAAGTCTGTTAAAGCTGAAGACGGAGACCTTCGTCGTGGATGTATGTTGTAGAGGAGGACGACGGCGAAGCTGGTGCCGCTGCTGCGAATGGTCCATCAGAAGCCCGATGGCGGTCGAGGATGTTGCTGGCAGAGTTTGACTTCTCTAGTGGTCGAAGACAAGGCTTTGATTTCGTGTGGCTGCAAACGACGTCGATTGGTAGGTGCCGACGAGAAAGGAGAAGAAGCTGGTAGCAGAGGAACCATTTTTTTTTATAGCGGTGCGTGTTTTAATGTGTGTGTTAGAGAGAGAGAGAGAGAGAGAGAGAGAGAGAGAGAGAGAGACAGGGAAGGGAACGGTTTTTTCTTGGTTGCAGAGATGTGTGTGTCAATGTGTGTGAGAGAGAGGAGGGTGAGAGAGAGTGGGGTTGAGTGAGAGAGGGTGACACGTGAAGAGGTGGTGCATACTCTGCCAGTACCAGGCGGAGGCGGAGCTCATCCCGGACGATCTCCACCTTCAGCCGACGACCACGCCCTGGCCCTCGAGATGGGGAATTTTCCGGAGGCCGAGTAGAGGAAAATTGGGAATAAATGAACCGGCACTGCTGTGAGGTCTTGCATTCGTCAGGTAATAATAACACCAACAAAAGCTCGAGTTTTTGGTTTATCTCAAAGGTTTGACGGAGGGACTTGCGGGAGGTGTTGGGGTGAGCAAATTTTGCAGGGGGAAAGAGGGGCAAGCGAATCTGGAGCTTTTGGATTTCGAAGCTCTAATTGAAGGGTTCGACTTGGCTACTCCGCTCGACTTGAAGAGGATTTCCATTGTTACTGACAACCTTTGCTTTATCAATTTGTGAGTAAACAAACACTACTTAACAAGTTTTCTTTGGTTGCTGTGTAAGGGCTGTTGTGTGTTGTTAAATTTCTATCCAGAACAAGAAAAAGACCTTACCCTCATCTTATTTTTCTTAAGCTTTAGGAGTGGTCTTGATGAAGGTCGAGATTTAAGTCTTATTTTTCATATGTTACGGTTTGAACCTGAGGTGTATATGGAGTTATATACTAGATTTTGCATTTCCTACCCGTTGAGATGGTCCCTAGAGTGTACTCATGTCAACTTCTCATTTTTCAGTATTCAATCATGTCCAATTTTTGGCTCGTTCATGCCGCAGAAAGTCTCATTTGCTTTTTCTATATACAGTTTGAGAATCTGAGTTCCAGTCGAGATCGAAACGATGCCGTCGCGTAGAGGAGTTCTTCTCAAGGTCATCATCCTCGGCGATAGTGGGTGAGTGTTTCTTGTTTTTTGCGTGATGTGCTTTTCTCTTTCTTTTTTTTTTCGGCATAATTTTGTGCGGCGTGGTTGTGCGTGTAGGGGTAAATTCATGATGTTTTTATTTTATTTATTTCGTTATCATGGAGGATCATTTTCAAGGCTTGGGGAACAACTTTATTTTTAAAAAAGACAAAATTAAAACACAATCTAGTATTAAACTTTCCATACGTCTAACCTTTATGAAATAGGATTTGTTGTTTTCGTTTGATCCAAGTACTGTGGAGGCTCATTTTGGTACTTTTAGTCAAACAAGCATCCGAATGGAGAGAATGGGATAAGCTCGCGATCAAAGTGGAAGAACCTAAGCTTTGAGAATGAGATTCTCCAATTTTTTCAGAGCATCATATTACACTCTCTAACATTATAACGATTTCAATGCTTTCTGATTTGAAGTCGCCGTTGCCACCGATGGCCTCGAAGAAAGAGGAAGAAGAGGAGGATCACTCCAAACCAACTGCTGAAGATGAGGACACCGGGGCCCAGATTGCCCCGATCGTGAAGCTCCATGAAGTCGTCGTTGCCCATGTCTTTATATCTTCTTAAAATTCAAGAATCAGCCCAGGGTTTGATTGATCGAAAGTGAAAAATGGATAAACTCGAGGTTGTTTCATTTGATCTTGCTGTCTTGTGAGTTATAGCCCAGTTAGATTTTTCTACACATCATTATCTTAGTTTTGCCTTCGTGGATTAATCTTTCCCTGTAGTTCGTCAGCAAATAGAATATGTCAGTACTTCAAAAGCAGTGTTTAGCTGCAGGATTTATGTAAAATGTTTTTTGAAGTTTTTGTTTGGATCGAGTTTTCCTTCATTATTGAATATCAGTTTAGTTAGTGCTTCAGATACATTTTTTTAGCTGAAATTTAGTATCTTTTTACCTAATTATTCTTCAGAGGTGCAAGAATCTGGGCTCCTCAAGTGAGGGTAACCACTTGATTATTATGTAGTTCCTAAATGATCAAGTATGTTAAAAAGCCAAATTGCATTAAAGAAGAACTTAAATGGAGTTTTTTCATTTTTTATTTTTTTTTTTTGCTAATAAAATTGTAAGATTTGTATCTAGAATGTTTGTTGGTATCTTGTTCAGGCCACTTTTCATGTAGCTAAGTGTTGAAAACAAATGTCCGGTAATGATAATAATTAATAAGATCATGTTCTATTTAGAAACCCATAGCTACACTTTGTTTTATGCTTATTCCAGGTAGAAGATAAAGTTATTATAAGAAACCCATAACTTAAACTACATTATCTTAAGTGCTTCATTGGATCAGAACAATGTATCACTGTTTTTGCAGGTAAATATCTGTGCCTGAATAAATATTCGAGTGCATAATACGTTTAACTAGTTATTTGAAAGATTGATTCTTGAATAAGCTGCTGCAGTACTTATTTGCTCGTGTAACTAATCATTTTTTTTTCTTCTCAAGTGTTTGGAGTTTTTCCGTACAGTGGTTCATTATTGCTTCCATATGAACCAGGTAAAATTATTTCATCAAAGAAAGCCCTCTCAGATTCACTGTTTAAGATTCACTTGGTGCCAAAAAGAGTAGGAAAAAAGAAAAAAACAAATCAAGTTATAAGATGCAGAGCCTGTCGAGTAATAATAAACACCATGATCATTCCATGGGTCATTCATATGCAAGCTCGTATGGTGGCCACTTATCTCTTTGGTTCCCCGCCAAACAGAAACAACTTTCTCGACCAAACGGTGTTGCCGCTAAGCTTGACTCAAAATCTGAATACAATCGCCATGCAAAGTATTTATTGGAGTTTGGTTATCAAGAAAAGGATCAGTGCTCGCCTATGTCAACTGGACAGTCTAATTTTGAAGCCGCCCCTTGTGTAAAAAACAGCTTTCATGAGCAAAATGTCTTGTTTAAACCAGGTAAATAGTTTAAATGTTGAGTTTGATTATTATGCCACTTATCTCTTTGGTTCCCATCTTGCAATATAAACTACAAAACATTTAAACATAACTCAAATAACACACACAAAATTTCATACACAATTCAACAAAAGCCGAAGATGATAGTATTACGTAAAGAACTCGAACAATACAGAAAAACACTACCTTTAGTTTGAGAAGCACGCTGAGCTTCGAACTCCCTTTGCACCTTTTGTAGACGTTTAGAAATTGTTTTCTCAAATTCCCTAATAAAAATAAACAACTTTGGAAACATTTCTTAACAATAACAAGAACTTAACATCCTGCAACTTATGCATAACTATAGCCAGTAGCGACAGCCAACCAAATAATACCAATTAATATGCTCATGCAGCTCATAAACAAAATCCAACAAAACACTTTCATGAAAAAAAAAAAAAAAAAAAAAAAAAACATTGCACAAATTCATAACAAACCCTGCCTGCACACCTAAGAAAATCCATTTTAAGAAACTCCAAAAAAACAGTGAGTTCGAAGAACTTCACTGTGCCCAGCCAGCCCAACCCGACAATCAACTAAAATACACAAAAAGATGTTCAAACAAAGACAAATATTTCAAATTTAAGCAAACAGCAGCCCCACAGAACATATCATCAAATCCCACCCTATCTACACCTAAAACAATCAATTCCAAGTAACTCCAAAAAACAGTGTATTCGAAAAAACTTCGATGAACCTATACAAACGAGACGCAGCCCACACCAACAATCGACCAAAATACGGAGACAGATATCCAAACAGAGACCAACCTTTCAAATTTAAACACACTGAAAAACGCATCTACTCTAGTAATATTTAAATCAATTATCAGTTGAAGAATTATGCCTCTACATTTCAATCTAAGAATCATTAGCAACCACACGAATTGTTGAAAAGTGATCGAATGAGATGAAGAGTATAATACTAAAAGCATCTACCCATGATACTCATAACACAGCTCATGTTTCACAAGTTTAGTAACCTTGAGATTTTTAAGAAAAATGTCCGAACCAAATGAGATGTACAGAGGGCTAAACCCACAAATAAATAGATAATATTATCCATCAGATATGAAGTCTGAACATCATACAACCATTAGGCATTGCAGAGTAACAAGACATACACCTATTTGCATATTTGTCATAATTATATGGATACCACCAAAAAAAAAGAAGATAAGTTGGAGAATTTTCACAATGATAATATCCTAAAGTGGCGTCGTTCAAGACTAGCTTCGGGTCCTCTCCATCATAATCAAACTCGGCCTGCAAAAAAGTGGCCGATAAAAAAAAAACCCTTCAAAAATTTGTTTCTTGAGAACTCCAAGACACAAACAGCCGTGACTGCGGGGGTTCTCGGAGAGATGCATAAAGGAGGTGAATGAGGAGAAATTTTCGACAATTAATCCTTAGATTTGGGCCTTTGAAATGAGGTTTGGATATTTTAATTTTTCCTTAAAATTCATCTCCTTTAAATTTCTAAGAGTTGGCCAAAGCCAAATCAAATTCAATACAGAAAACTTTTTCAAACTAAAAAATTGATTCTAAACTACAAAGAGATTCGAGATTACCTTTGTTGTTTTTGATCTCCGAAATTCGATGTTGAGACTAGTAGCTTGAAGAATAATGAACCAATTGTTAAAAGGAGAAAGAATGATGGCCATAGTGGGTGGAGTGGACACGATCGTGGTTTGAAGATAGACCGGAAAGCTTGAGTTTTTTTCTCTCTTTCGGACAGAATCAATCGATCGTGGTTTTTTTTTATTTTTTTCTTTTCTGCTAAGTTTTTGAGTTTGAAGAGGTAGACGGCGACGGGTGACCTCCTGTTGGAGTTTGACTTCTCTTTTAAAAAAAAAACTTGTGTGCATTAATACCCAGAATATAAATATGTTCTCTATCCAAATCTAAGGGTGTATATCAATTCATAAGATCTAAGGGCCTATGTTAAAATAACGAAGTCATCCCCTTACGGGACCCTAGCCTCGCCCTAAATTACGTACCTAACCAACTAAAGTGTAATATATTTAACTCTTAAAATTACATAGGAGTCCTTACACTTTATCTAATTTACATATATTTGGCCCATCCCCAATTCAACCCCAACTAGCATCTCTCTCGACATCCTTCAAAAGAACAGACAGCCCTACCGCCGGCCACGTGTTATGCTCATCAATACCTTGTCCGACCAGATCCGGACGGCATATCCAGCGGCGACATCACAATTTGCCTCAATTAAAATTTTTGTTCAATCCCGCTGAAAAGTGAGTCGTCGCTCGTCGGCTCCGGGACATTTTCCCTCGAAATTAAGATTATCAACGTATTCCGATGTTCATCAGGATCTCGCTGAGGGACCACTCGCCGAGGAGAGTGAGCTGGGAGGTGCGGCGGCAATGCTGGGGAGTCGCGGCGGCAGAATCCAGTGTCGTGCGGCCATGTTGGGGATGCACGGCGGTCGGACTGTGCAGGTGGAGCGGCCGGCGGACGGGACTGATCTTCCAATGGTGGTTGGGGACGGGACTGAAAGGTCTAGGATGTTTTTCGGATGCATCACGAGATCCTCCAGAAACTTCCCTATCTACCTATCGGACTAATATTCCTCTCTCTACCTGAATTCAATCAGTAAGAAAAATCATTCCGGAAGGTAGGCTATGAGCGTCAGTCTTCAAACTCCTGCCCTAGTTCGCACTAATTAGTAGACCAAGCTTAGGAGCTCTGAAAAGAGAGTCTCTTTTTCGACGGAAAGTTTTTTTGAACTGATTAGCAGAGGACGGGAAGTCAGACTAGGAGGTCAATCGTATATTCTATTTATTGAAGAAATGAATCTATACGAATAAGAAACTCGAAAGATCGACTCTACCCCTTCACCAGGGTCTTCAGTTCGAACCAACCTGGAAAGCCTTGCCTACGCATAAACTTAGTCAGATGGTAGCAAGATTTTGAAGAATCAAGCAAGATACGAACACACTTCCTTGGGAGGGAAAAGACAGACTCAAGGACGAGACTGGACGGCTGAATGTCGGTAGCGGGTGGAAGACGGCAGTGGCAAGTGGTGGTGCCGATTTGTTGTGACTTGTGCGTGTGTGTGTGTTCTCTGCGTGTGCATGTGTTGTGTGTGTACTATGTGTTTTTGGTGTATTGTGAGAGAGAGAAACATATTAAATGTGGTGGTTAATTTATGGTGGGACCCATTGGGGTTTATAATGTCTAATTTATTCCTACTTAATGGTCAAATATGACATTTGACCACAATGTGTATATTAAATTACCATATTGTCATTAATGATTGACCAAAGTTAGACTTAATGCTAACTATTGATATGATGTATCCGATGATCCAGATTCATTCTTACTTCTTTCACTATCTACAATTCTCATATGATCCTAACTCTCTCTATATATATATATATATATAAATATTTGATTATTTTTTAAATAGTAACAATTTCCGTCAAAAAAAATTTATTTACTATTTTAGGAAATTAATTTAACAATTTATGGTATATTTCAAATGATCACTTACGAAAATTGCGGCTCATTATTTAAGGAAGTAATTAAGGCATACTTTAAGATTTCTTAATTACTCAAATCATGTGAATTAATTAATATATGCTAATAGTGGATTAATTTATTTGATAACTGCTTTTTTGTAGGAAATTTGTTGAAAAATTAATCAATATACGGAGTACATTTTTCTGTAATGCGCAGGCTAATATTTGGTTTTAAGCGTGAGTTTCAATTTTCGTATAAAATTAACATAATAAAATTACCGTAACTTTGATAAAATAATATGAACTGATATTTTGATACAATGGGCATATATCGATATTTTTTTTTATAGAAAAAACTCTGGTCAATTTTTTTTTTATTTTTGTATAATTAGTGAGTCTCGATTTAATTCAGTTTTTGTTACGACATTTCAAATAATTTTGTGTGAAATGTATTGTTCATTTTTTTAGCATGATAAGGAGTGTCGATTTTTTTGGCATAAAAAATCTTATGACTGATTGCTTTTACTCAACTATTTAATTTTTTTTATTTGGCTATTTTATACAAAAATAAATTCATTTTAATTAGTTAAACAATATAAGTTTTATATTTATACTTTTTTTTCGAAACGATAGATATATTATAAAAGGGCACAAATATGCAAAATTACAGCCACCAGCCGAATATAAACAGCCAACAGCTGAATATAAACCGCTAACACCTGAGAAAACTGGGAGGACAGGTCAAAAGACCGCCTAAAACCGACCCCAACAGAGTAATACTCAACAACACTAAAAACACAAAAAAAACAACAACACAACACAAAGACCCCCACAGGGTAATACCCGAGTGTCGAACCCCCACAGGGTAATAAAAGTGACACTCGGGCGCACAGGGGCCAACGGCCCAGACTGAAAACACATTATCAAACACAAGAACAACATAAACAAACACAAAATAATTACTACAAAAACATGAACACACAAAGCCCTTCCACATCAATCGAATCGACCCAACCAACAGTGAACAATCGACACAAGAGAGATTCCAAGCTCGAAGGACTGCTACCGAAACTGCGCAATTGCCTATACAATAGCCAACTCCGAGCCCGAACCAATCCCAAAATCGACCCGTCAACAACTGAGAGGAAAGCACTCCGCCCCCACACCAGTCCTGGCCCGAACCCGTCTAACACCACTAGACGAGCTCGGGAAAACAAGGTCCCCCGCCGCCTAACACCACTAGCCGACAGGAGAGGGTGAGAATGGCTCATTCCCTCAACCCCAGTCATCGCAGCAGGGCTGCCACGACATCCGGAGTCCCAACCCGACCCCAGACTCACGCTCCTCCCAACACCCCTACAAACCGCCGCTGACCCGAGCCCAAACCACCAGAAGCCCCGCCGTGAATAGCGAAGCCAACCTGTTGGACCTCCGATATACCAGCCAGAAGAAGATCGAAGCTTCCCTCCTCCAATCGAAGACTGCCGGCAGCCAAAGGGAGAGCTTTCGACTCCGATTGATGGAGCTCCACCACGCGACCCAAACTCGCCGGCAACGAAGAAAAGCCCCAATCGCGACATCCGCAGAGACATCTAAGACGAGCGAGGCTGAGGGCGGGCCGAGCGGTCAGAAACGACCATTGGCCAGAATCTTATCGTCACCGAGGAAGGCAATCAACAGAAATTTCTGGGAGAAAGGGTGGATATTTGGGCGACGATGGGATAGGGTTTTAGAGAGAGAAATTTCAGATATATTTGATATTCGGTAATTCAAAGGTGGTTGCTTTGTTGTTTCTATATATTTATACTTATTATTCACATAGGTTTTTAAATATATGATAAAAATTTACCAAAATAATTATTTTATGGAATCAGGTTATAGTCAAATCGAATTTCTGAATAGAATTTTTGAAATGACATATATTTGAAATCATATAATGTGATTTATTATCAATTATGTGCAACGCACGTGATGTGTACTAATTTTAAATAGACATTTTTATGTAATTTTGCACAAATTAAATTTTATATAACATTTTCAATAAATTATATAGGTACATTGTATTACATATTGATTCCATGTTTCTAATTTATAAATATTATTTAATAATAATTTTTAATTTATAAATATTAATTAATATCTCTTACCCGTGCATCGCACGGGGCTCGTACTAGTTATATAATAAATTAATTTAAAATTGTCATTGTACTTTATTAATGTAAAATGTAACGTTTCTAAATGAGTTTTTTTTTTTTTCCACATCATCTTTCCAATAAATCTCTTCCCATTTAAACACACACCCACATTCCTACTCTCTCCATTTAAACAAACACCCACATTCCTACTCATACATTTAACTACATATATGGGACTCATTCTCCACTCATTCAATATAATTTTTTCCAAACTTCGTACTTATAAATAGACCTCCTCTACTCACTTGACCTCATCGCCCATTTTCATTTTCTAAATTGTAAGTTCACTGTTTATACTCATTTTTTTAATTTTTAATCGTTTTGAGTTTTTTTTAATTTAAAACGTATTTGAGAAATACGTTTTACCGTATTTTAATTAACTTAATTACGTTTATTGCGTTAATTAATTTTTTATTAGGAAAACGGATTCCCATAATTCATTTTATACCTAAAAACGTATTTCTATAATACGTTTTATATTGAAAAACGGATTATTGGAATTCGGCCTTTTGGTTTTTTTCCACTCATTTTTTTTTTTAAATTAATAATAAATTCTTTCCTAATCAGAACAATTTTTTTAAATATTAAACTCAGTTTTAAGCTACAAAAACTCTTATTTCCTCGCATATATAATTTAAAATAAATTTCTCATACATCCTAAAAAGTTTTGAGATATTTCTAAGTCCCTCAGTGTATGATTAACATGAACCATAAAATCGCGGTACAAAACCATCTTTGTTTACCAAAAAAAAAAAAGAAAAAGAAAAAAAAAACTTACTTCCAATAACAAAGAAACTATTAGTTTGTTGGACAGGCATGCCTCTAGGACTTGCAAGTCATTTCCTATTTAACCTTTGGGGATGAATAAAATCGAGCCAAAACTAAATCATCAAGCCGAACTATGTGGTTTTTTTAATTTTAATACTTTTTGGGATTTTTTTCCACATTGCAGTGCAGTTATTATTTTTTATAATTTTAATTTTCAATTTTGTTCAATTCAGTGTGATTTTGCACCGAACCACAACAAATTAAATAAAATGTATAAAAAAAATGGAGATAAAATCGAAAACAGGGTCGAACATACGCATTTTGGTGAGGATTGTTTCGGTTATTTTAGTGAAAAATTTTCGGTTCAATTACAATTTAGTTTATTATAAGTTTCCATGTAATTCGGGTATCTTTTTTGCTATGTTTGATTTTTTAATTTTTGCATTCGATGAAGTTTTGCACACACCACGCACCCTTACTGATGTAGAAAAGCGTACGAGTGGGATGATAATAATGAGATCGCAATCTCAAGAACACCAAAACACGATATCAAATCTTATTTCATTTGAATAATCAACTCCAAATAACAAAGAAGAATGAGTCTTTAAATAAGACTCCTAAAGCCCTAAACCTAATTTGTTCACCAATCTACTAAATAATAATAATAATAATAATAATAATAATAATAATAATGCATAATTCTCCCCCGGTTGAGCAAGATTCGCCCTTGAATCCGACCCATTCTCGTTAGAGACGTCTCATGACATGAATAGCTCAACGTTTCCCCCGATCGAACACGAAGGTTGAAGGTCGCCAAACAACCCCGAAAGTAAACATAATCTCGGGCAAGGATTGAATTGCTGCAAATGCACATGTACACGCCTTCATACGCATAATCCACACAGCTGAATGAACACAAAACATACCACATCATTCGCCGCGCTCAAATCCATAACTACGGCCAAGCGTCCCATTGTTGGGGGACTTCGCGATAGACAATCAAAAAATGGCCCACCAGTTATTTAGCCTCGGCGCCTGCTCCCAAAAACCATTGTTGGCCAAAATACTCCAAACATCGGGTTTCAACGACGGCATCCCTGTCAATGGCTCAACTTCTGCGACGTCCCACGCGGGACCCATATTGCCGCAAAAATATGTCTCCATCACCGGAGGCTCTTCATCAAAGATCGGTGCACTGTGGTACAATGGCCCATCATCATGTTCTTCGTCGAATACGGAGATGTCAACGCAAAACGGGCCCTCCCATTGGCCATATTCGCGACCAAGTCCCCAATCGTGTCGGGCACGATACCCACCGGCGAAGGCAGCCTCCTCGCGCCTGTCTCTGTCGTCGCGTTGATCGTCGTCGTCCACGAAAGACCGGGCCCAGTTGCAGCATGTCACGGTCGCCGTATACAGTGAAGGGGTCAGCCTTGACGTGCGGGGGTAGAAAATCGTCGAAGGGATTTTCCTCCGAGACTGTCTCCTCGCCGTCTTCGTCGTCGGACGGTGGTTATGGAGATCCCCGACGGGGCGCCCCACCTGGACCACGGCCTCCACGTCCTCCGTGAATTCCCCCGCACACGCCCCGGTTGCCGGCGTCACGGTACATTTGCTTGTCCCGAACCATGGTACGGATAGTTAGACGTATGTCCCCGATCTCCGCGGACAGATCTGCAATCTGACGACCTATCATTTCGAGGGTGAAGCCTTCCGAACCGGGAGAGAATGGTGTAGATTAGTATTATTATTATTATTATTATTATTATTATTATTATTATTATTATTATTATTATTATTATTATTATTATTATTATTATTATTATTAGGTATCTTGAAGAATTTTAATATTTTGTTAGGATTCTTGTCTTGTTGGACAAGTTAGTATTAGGGTTTTAGGAGCCTTATTTAAAGGACTCCTCCTCATTTGTGTTATTTAGTTGATTATGAATAAGAAATTGAGTGTTTAGCGAGAGAGTATCTCGTTTATCTTTCCCACTCGTACGCTTCCCTACATCAGTTGGTATCAGCAGTCAGTACGATTCGCGATGCCGCCGGGACGACAAGATGCCGCAAACGAACGACGTGACGCAACCTTCAACGATCTGTTTCAACAAATCGACTACCGATTTCAACAGTTGGACATACGTTTCATGGATTGGTTTGCCGATCTTTCATCCGGAATCGAGAATTTGTGTTTGACGCTTAACAACGTGGTCTGGGATTTGCAGATGAACTGTGCCGCGGGCCACCGTGGTGTGCGCGGGGGAGTTCAATGAGGAAGTGGAGGTCGTGTTCTAGGCGGGGCGCCCCGTCGGCAATCTCCACAACCGCCACCCGGCGATGTAGACTGCGAGGAGACCATCTCAGAGGTGGATCCCTCAGAGAGTGGCCGACTCTGCCCGTCGAGACTAAGCTCGTTGTTGCGCACAACAACCAAGATGTGCGGCAACAGGGTGCGATTTTTTAGGAAGATGATGGGCTATTGTACGACAGTCCGCCGATTTTCAATGAGGAGCCTCCGAGCCCGGAGGATTTCATCGTGGAGTGAAATTCTCTTTACATCAACACCAACAAAGACTGTGACCAACCTTTTGGGGGAGAGAGTGTGCATGCCAGGGGCGTAGGTCCTACTCCAATCCGAGTCGAGGATTTTTCACTTCACAAGTTGGTAGATGCAATTATTTGTATGCTACATCCTGAGGTTAATCAAAGTGCAATTGAACTAGCAAAAGCAACGAAAGATGACGATGGGGTGATTCTGACACGTCATGAAAAGTACTTTCAAGTTATTGACCATTCGGGTGGTGTTGAATTTTTGAGTTTTATGATGCCCAGGGGTGTTTGGTTTGGAAGTAGGGTCCTATGTTGTGTGGGTCGGCTAGAGTGGACGGTGGGAGACATTCAACCTTTGTGTTTGACTGGGAAAAACAACAGGGTCCTACCACGGATTCGACACCACACGCCGGCCACGGGAGCGCATCGGCTTCGAGGGCAAAGCCTTCCGAACTGGGGGAGAATGGTGTAGATTATTATTATTATTATTATTATTATTATTATTATTATCATCATCATCTTGGAGAATAAGTTATGAATTAAATATATTATAAGAGATATTGTCTTGTTGGACAAGTGAGGAATAAGGTTTATGAGTTTTATTTAAAGGACTCTCTATCTATTGTTTTAGAGGAGTTGATTATGGAATGAAATAAGAAATTGAGTGTTTATCGAGAGAGCATCTCGTTTATTTTTCCAACTCGTACGCTTCCCTACATCACCTATTAATCATATCCCAAATAGAAATAGTTACTTTCGGATATATTTTGTAACAATTTAATTTAAGTACTTTTAGTAATTATAGAAGCAATAACAATTTACAACACAAAAAATCTGGACGTCCCAATGGTACACATATATTAACTTTTCCTCCATATCTGATCTGAAACTCTCTCAAATAGGGGCATGGAAATTATACATCATAAGCTATAATAGAGCGGGCAAAAACTCCCAACTGTTATAAAACTAGAGAGAAAAAAGAGAATATAGAGAATGCTTTCTCTTCGTTGTATTTTCATTATAACTGAAGCTCCTATTTATAAGAAAACTTTTGATGGCACAATCGTAATAATACAATTACATCAGGGGCAAAATAGTCATTCACATATATTATTTTAAATCTCACGAGGTGCATGCACCTATATTATAACACTCCCACTTGAATGACTATTTTCTAAATATCATTATTCGAACAAAACATAATCTGAACATCTTGAAGTTTATTATGTGTCCATCAAGTACCGAAGCTTCAACATGTCAGAAAAACCAGCTGGGACAAAACCTGATCATTTTAGAATCAATCCAATACTCCCTCAGGAAAACCCGGTCGGACAAAACCTGAGCATTGTGGAAGCATAACATTGCTCCCCCTCAAATAGATCATCTTTAGTGAATTATCCACGTGCTGCCTCATTAAAACCTTGTCAAGAAAACCCAATGGGAAAAAAACTTGATCGAAGGAAAAAGAGTACAGCTACCCCAGTGTCTTATTATCATCATGAGAAATTATATCAATTATCCATTAGTCTTCATTATACCATGAATATGCCTCGTTAAAACCTTGTTAAGAAAAACCCAGTGGGACAAAATCCTAATTAAGGAAAAAGAGTACACTATTCATGTGAATACGCCATCTATGTTGCCTCATTAAAAACCTTGCTGGGAAAACCCAATGGGACAAAACCTCAGTCAAGGGAAAAAGAGTACAACACGTATTCCATATATTCACCATAATATTTCCATGAGTATCATGGAAATTCATTCAGATTTTCAAATACTGATGGTATTTATACCATATCATTCTTTGTGCAACTTTCAGTCTCACCCTCATTCATCACTAATTTTAGGTATTTCAATTTGCACAATATCAACGCTTCCAGCGTATTATCACAATATTTCACATATTTCACCTCCATCAGTATCATTCAGTTTATTTGCACACTTCCAGTGTGATACATATATCATTTCAAAATTTCAATCATTGATTCTCCACCTCGCCTAAACAAATCACTGATCTGTATTTTCAATATTGAATTTCTTGAGAGAAGTTCATACAGTCTCCGTTTCGTTCTCGATTTCAATATATATATAATAGTAGGACTTTGAAATCATATCACTTGCAATGTGCCCAATTTTCTTTCAAGAATTCATCATATCAATTGGGTATATTACTAGCTTTTACACTCATTTCATAATCATCTCGTAACTTCAGGTTACATTTTATATATACATTCATTGCTCAAAACATCTTGTAACTTCAAGTTACGAGTCATATAATCATATGGCTATCTAGTGGATCCATAATATCTAGTAGCACATATGGAGAGGTAGTAACCCCCATATATCGTACCCCTTTTCATATTGATTCACAAATATTTAGCTAGTAATAATTTTCATCAATCCAAAACATCACATATCACAAATCATGCAAACCATTATCATTTATATCGGTAAACATCACAATAATTCATATTTATCACAAACGTATCACATCATCTTTCGGCGGCAATAAATGCACTTCTAGTGCACCCAATATTTAAATTCAGAAACGTATCACATGCGTATCATGCCTAAAGACTTTTAAGCTCTGTTTTTAGAGTCATATCGCATACGCATCATTTCTATAAATTATCATGTAAATCATTCAATCTTCCTTAACAAAGGTCCGAATTCACAAATAGATTTAGCACTCTCAAATATCCGTAAATATTATTCTTTTCTCCCAATAAATATCATAAAAAGGATTTATTGATCTCGATTAGAAAGATTGAGGGTGCTAATGATTAATGATATTCCAAGTGATATTCGATGGTTGATTGAAGCAAAAGTTCGATTGTCTAGAGAGTTTTCAAATTCATACAAATATATGCCAGGTATGGGTAAAAGTATTTTTGCAAAGAAACGAAGAGCAAAAAAATTAGGTGGATGCTTCAAATGCGCTCGATGGACTTGTGACACACGATGTACATCTGTGGGGTTCGTGTCCAAAAATCGAGAAGATAAAATATTATTTATAAAGGATGGATTGAGTAAAGAATCTACGGATCAAACGATTCAACAGATTCTTGAGACACATCCGAGTGGTTATGTGCATCGAGAGCTTATGTCTCTATGGATTCGTTTCAAAGATGAAAAAGAACGTTATAGTGTCGAAATATTGTTTCAAAAGATCAAGCTTGTAAAAATTGTTCTTGCTAATACGAAAAATACATTTCTGTATTTTGTACTGTAATTTTCAGAAAATCTTATAGCTGCCGACAGATAAGATTCTTTGAAGACTTAACGCCTTATCTATCCGTTATCGTTTTGTGAAACATCCCTTTTAAATAGAGAGTCATCCATCATAATCATATAACTCACAAAATTTAGTTTATCAATAAATAGATGGATGTTTCAGAGTCTTCTCAAGGTAATAAATTTCTTCATCCGATCAAAACCATGTGTGTTCTTGGTGGTTCTAAACTGGTAAGTTTTTCTCAAAATATTGATATTGTAAGTCAACTAGTAAGGGAGATGGGGAATCGAAAAATCAATTTACTGTATGGAGGGACTAGCATCACTTTCTTTGATAACATTTTAATGGCTGGAAAATGTTTTGATATAGAAGTGAAAAGTATCATTCCTTTTCATAGAGCTTCAACAAGGGTCATCAAAGATTCCACAAGTTTGATGCTAACTCATTCTATTTATGACTGTATGATGGATATGGTGAATAATAGCGATGCTTTTATCATTCTTCCAGGTGGTTATGGAACTTTAATGACAATGTTTACCATTGCTTCTTGGGCAGAATTGAAACTTCATAATAAGCCCATAGGTCTACTGAATTTTAATAACTATTTTCATGGTTTGCTTGGATTTTTAGACGAAGGAGTATATCAAACCTTTATATCTCCTTTAACGAGAGAAGTATTCAAATCTGCAGACACGCCTTCTGAGCTTATCAAAAAGCTTCAAGAATGCATCACATTTCAAGGTTCTGTGGAAACACAGGGGTCAAGCGAAAAAGAGCTTTTGATCATTTAGATCTTTCATTATGAACCCATATAATAATCATGGGTGGCAGAGTTACGGAGTTTATACTCTCGAGACGCAATGGGTTCTATTATGTAATATTTTTTGCATATTTATTGAGGAGTCACAACCTCTTATCTGTATCTCCATCATATGATCCTTATGTACTTGTTCTTCAGTAATAATAATATTTTTAGTTTCTTTGGGATCTTTACAAATACTCCTTCTAGGAGATGCTCGATCTTCAAGTCGAGATAATACTCTTTGATATTTAACCAAAAGTTTTATTATAACTCCGTCTATAAGCATGAGCTAACTTATTTAATCTTTTTATATAGTGTTCATAATCTATTTAACCGAGATGATCATTTTGTATATTATCATTGGTTCTACCTTGAATTTCATACTTTACTTCTTCAGGAATAATTTTGTTGGTTGTACCATATCTTACCAACAACTTTATATAATTAAATGATTTAATTATCTTTCATCTCGGGTACTCGAGTCCATCCAGGAATTTCACATATGACTCAATAGTCATGATAATTTTGCTGCCATATATATTAACTTGCGGAATTATTGATAATGAGATAAATTTTATAAAATTTTGGGTCTCTGCGTAAACCCATAATCTCGCTATATTTACATCACACCACCATATCACATATAAGTATTCATCCTTCTGGGATATACTATCCTTCTGGGATATATCGTGTAGCGAGTAAAAACTCTGCCTTTATTTTTCTTTCTATCTCAATCAATCTAAGTACTTCTAGCACTTTCATTATTTTGATCTGGATCATTATTTGAGATAGTAAAGAAATCATATAGGCAATTATGTTGTCGACAACTATGATATTCAATTTATATTCTCTCAACCATATGCGCAACTTCATATTTAATAGCCATATTTATAATCATTTCCCGTAACATTTAATTTTGGCTTTTCCGCATTTCCAGTACTATAATGATTTGATGCACGTGCAAGATTTACTGGATCAACTCTCCAGGAGTTTCTTTATAAAGGAGTGTTAAATCTTGAATATATATTTTCTGCGGACTTTCATATATTATATCACCTTATGCTTCTAGCATTAAGAAGTTAATCATTCCTTAGGAATTTTGCTTACTTTGTGGTACATTTAAATATATACAAATTGGTCACTCCATTATTACTATAAATTTCATTTGGCAGAAATATAATATGAACTTCAAGTTCAATTGCGTGGTTTCAGATAATGAAAACATTAATATTTCAAATATTTTACGGCATTAATATATTTATGTTCATATCTCCCCCTAATGCCGTTAAATATTGTCGCACAATAAGTACCAAATAATAAATTGACCCCCTATAATGGCCTCTAGGTATTAAAAATCTGACGGAGTATCATAGCATACCTAGTTTATAACATTTGCCCATAAAGGTACGAATTGGTGGTGATATAAGATTGTGCATAATAATAAACTTCAACAGTTTCTTTGGAAGTGTATTAATGGTGCTCTACCTGTTTCATCTAACTTGAAAAAAAGAGGTGTGGATATAGACACTACTTGCCAAAGCTGTGGAGCTTGCCCTGAAACTGTAGAACACATTCTACTCCACTGCCCCAAAGCTAAGATGGTTTGGGACATCTCCCCAGTCACTTGGACAGACACTCACTCTCATGGACCCTTCAAATATTGGTGGGGTCATATCTGCTCCATTGGCTCCTCTGGGATTGACAAAGCCCGCATACAACTCACTACCTACTTACTTTGGTGGCTATGGAAATGCCGCAACCTATGGATCTTTCAGAAAATGACAATCCCAGCTCACAAGTTGGTCCAAATTGCTCATAAGGAATGGCTCGAGTTCTGTTAGTTTTAACTTTCTGCTTGGTTTTGTTTTGTATTTTCTTTTCAGTCAGGTTGTTTGGTTCTAGTTTGTTAGGTCCTGGTTGTTTGGTTCTAGTTTTTTCATCTGGTTTGGTTTGTTTGGGTTGTATTCTCTAGGCCTTATGGCAGTGGAGTTGGGTGTTTGAGATTAGTTTGCTTTCGGTTCTAGGCCGCCTTGGCGTGTCCTCTCATTTTTCTATTCGGGTGTGGCTCGTTGTATTATGACAATGTATTTGGTTTTGAGTTTATACATCTTCTATCGTTTCGTTAAAAAATAATAATAATAATAATAATAAATCGCAGATGGGAAATGTTCAATTTTCCACGCATCATTTTGGGGAAATTATGATAAATAATTGCTCAATATGATCCAACTGCTCATGCTAATTATCCAATATATAAGTTGAGCATCAAAGTATAATAAATCAATTCTTAAGTGAACACTATTTGCTTCAGGCACTACATATATTATATCCATGTTATATGTACATGCTCATGTATCAAATAATTTTTACAATTTAAACATATCATAATATAATAAACCATATCAATATTGGTCTTAAATGAAACTCTTATTTAACTTGTTAACATGGAACTAAATATAATGAATTTTAACCATGTTTGTTTCTCATATTGACGGATATGAGAAAGAGTTTATAATAGTATCACTATGTCTCTTGTTTTGGTTTTGGAAAATCTCTAATAGTGTGTCCGTGTGCAGTGCGTGGACACAATTTAATAATACATTTATTATAGCAATCAATATTGACATTGTTTTATAATATGTAGGACAATATGTATTAATTATGAGAGATTTTTTTTTTTAGCCATGTACAAATGGCTAACACAAATTTTAGCCATGTTTTGCAAAAAAAATCTTTTTTAGCCATTTTGGCACCTGAAAAGACAAAAATACCCTTACTACCTATTTTTATATAAAAAAAAAAAAAAGAGGAATCCAAGAAACAATTTTTGGGTCCAGAAATCGATTTTCCGTCCCAGAAATCGATTTCTGGTACAAGAAATGGTTTCTGGTCCCAGAAATCCCAGAAATCCAAGAAATAATTTCTGGTTCTAGAAATCGATTTCTGGGACCGGAAATCAATTTCTGGGACCGGAAATCAATTTCTGGACACAGATATGGTTTCTGGTCTCAGAAATCCTAAAATCCAAGAAATGATTTCTGGTTCCAGAAATCGATGTCCGGTACCAGAAATTGATTTCTGGTCTTAGAAATCTCAGAAACGATTTCTGGGGTCCAGAAATAGTTTCAGGTACTAGAAATTCAAGAAATGCTTTCTGGTTCCAGAAATTGATTTCTGGTCGATTTCTGGGATTTCTGGTCCCAGAAATCCCATAAATTGTTTATGGACCCAGAAATCCCAAAACCGATTTTTGGAATCATTTTAGATCCCATAATGATTTTTTGTATGATTTTTTATACAAAAAATCGATCCCAATAATCGATTCTGGTTCAAATTTTATTTGTTTTATTATATAAGACATGGAACCATATATAAGACATGTTTTTTTGAGGAGGATATGGTAAAAAAGTTAAAACATCGACAAAAAACGAGACATAATCGATCTTTTTCTTTTCACAAATTTGTACTCTTTTTCTTTGTTGGGTTCAAGCTTCATTCATTAATACCAAGTCCCCGCCGAAATTTGCAAACTTCACAATGGAGAAAACAGTGCAGCACTTTACATTGCAGCCTTCTGTTCGACAAATGGTTGAACTTACAAAAACTACTCGTGAAATCGTGATATGAGTCATTCACAAGAAGCCCAGAAATTCAAAATTTTACAAAAAAACTATCCGAGATTGATTTACTCATTAGATTTAGGAGTATCAATTTAGGAGTATCGGTAATATATGGACAAATGTATGAGGGTGCTCCGAACGTTTTTTTGATTATGAAGATGAGGCTAAAGTTCAATATAATATAAACCCTATTTTTCTTTCATTTTTTAAGAGAACAACTTTCTATAAAAAAAAATTGAAAGAGAGTTTTATGCTCCTTCCCTATCGGTACACCCTGCCGATCGCTTGTGCCTCAACTGTTGGATTCAGAAGTGGCTCGACGAGAATAACATGCTGAACCTCCAAAAATGGACATTTGATAGTTAAAAAAATATAATTAGTCAATTCATCTAAAAAGTTATGTTATCTTGCACAAGTGTTTAGAATTTAGAAATGCGTGTGTCTGTGTTTGCATGTGTTTAAACGCATGTAAAAAAATTGCAAAACGGCCTTAAATAATTAGAATAAAAACTGGAACTCCTTGAAAAATATTTATATGTAAACTAGTAACTCAAGATAAATAAATCTGTTCGCACATTTGGCTACAGATGTTCATGAATCCAAGGAGAAAAAAAAATCTCAAACATAAATCAGCTACAAGTACGTTTATAGTTTAATTTTGAAGTCAATAATTTAAAAAAACAATATCCAAAAAGATGGAAAAGCCATTTTGCGGCCCGAATAATTAGACCCGCTCATTCAAGCAGATGACACTTCCGATGCCGAAACTACCGCCGCTTGTACCTGAAGAGTAAAACGAGTTGCAATGATCAAAATACCAAAACAACAAACTTTAAAATGAGTGGCCACACCATATACACATATCAAAACATAAAATTATTAGACACAAGGTTGATGATAGTCCAACTGACATCAAAATATAAATTACCAATAAACATGCCAACAGATGAACAAAATAAATGAAATCAAATGTCTTCAAGTAATATTCGTACCGTGACTTGCTCTTAAAGGAGGATTTCCTCTTCCCGCCACCTCGCGCAGAAGCAGAAGTTCTTTTTTGCCTTTTCTCACTCATGTCGCCCTCGAAAAGGAGGATTTCCTCTTCCCGCCACCTCGCGCAGAAGCAGAAGTTCTTTTTTGCCTTTGCTCACTCATGTCGCCCTCGAACCAGCTTTCTTAACCTGTCAAGATGGTTCAAATCATTCCATACGTAATTTTTTGGTTCATAGTCCTAGTTATGTGCTTCATCTTAATTCAATGTCCAAGGCCAAAGCTCAAGTGTAAATTTCATCCAATGAAGTTTTTCCTTCAAGAGAATACATACATAATATTTGCACTAATTCACAGAAGTGTGGAACATTGACCTACTGAGTGATCAATGCCATGAAGTTATAATGTTAAAGTTTGGGTTTGAATTGAAAGGCATCATTTTTGGAAGTCCCAAGAAAACAAAAAACCATGAAAGAGTCCATTTGACCCCACCATAACAAACCTACAAAGTAGACAATAGCATATACCAATATCAGGAATATTTAGTTTGACTTGATGAAATATAGAAGTAACAATAATTTTAGTTTCGGGAGAGTGACACTTCACTTATGACTTTCCCATCGTAGTTATGTCGAGAAATGGTCACAGGATGTTTTTCTTTGATAGAAAGGTTGTTATAAATGAATATTGTTGATAAAATTGCACCTTCAAATGACTCAGTGGGATAGTTGAATGATTTTCATTTTTTCATAGAAAGGACTACAAGTTGAAAATGCAGAGCGGCATATAAGTAGTCGCTACTAAATTTGTAAACCATTAGAGTAAATTACCTCGTAAGGTCTCGAGGACATGCAAAATTGATAACTGTCTGAACTCCTATAATATCAAGACCCTGAAAAATGAAATACAAGAGTAAAGTGGACACAACAGAGCAACATCACATGGATATAATGATCTTTATAAAAATTCTAATAATATGGAGTGCTTGGTAACATTAAAGGAATGTGAACAGCTATGGAAGTGAAAGAAATGGGTAAATACTTTTCATAAACCCAATTTGTAGGGGTATGATTCAACAATAAACAACGGGCAATCAAGCACTACTCATTTCATTCCCATTCCCACTTCCCAAACACCCACTCTAAGCACCCAACTAGTTTAGCTGCATGAAACAAAAATCTTATTCTTACACGAGCAGCAACATCCGTAGCAATTAGAAAATCCACTTGTTGCTTCCTGAACAGCTCCAAGGCCTATCCAACAGAACAAAATACTTCAAGATGCAGAAGTGAACCACTCACAAACCCAAAAGAAAACAAACGATGAACAAGGGAGACTGGGAGAAACTTACATCAAGACGCTGGGTCGTGTTCAAAAAATCTCTTCATAAAATCTCTTCAAACAAAACCCTAATTTAAAAAAACAATTTCAAACCAAATTCCGGCAAGGTTCGTGAAGATTCGTGACGGCGAGGTCGTGTTCGGTCGTGAAGAGTGAAGGCCCAGTCGAAGATTTGCTCAGAATCGGTCGTGAAGAGTGAAGGCCCGGTCGAAGATTTGCTCAGAAGAGGTGATCGATTTCTGCTCAGAAAGAAGAATGAAGATGATTGTTTGAAGAAATATTTTTGCAGATTTGCTCAGAGTCGGTCGTGAAGATAATTTTTTGAAGAAATTTTTTTTGAAGACGAAGTGCAGAGCGGGGGGCGAAAATTTTTGAAGATTGAAATGAATTGAATTAGGGAAACACAATTTGTGTGGAGTTAAATTGAGTTAGGGGTAATGTAGTAAAAACACATACCAAAATGGCTATAAAAGATGTTTTTAACAAAAGGTGGCCAAAATTTGTGTTTTGTAAATCTTTATGGCCATTTAATGATATTAACACATTAATTATCCTACTTATGATCTTTGCCGACACTCACTAGCCATCAATATTTTTATTTTATTTAGATGCAATAAAACTTTTGCCGTCTTTTTAGTCTTCTTCCTCTATTTTCTTGTTTTCACGGCCCAAAGTAAAATTTCTTATATAATTTCAGCCTTCATAAATTATACTTCGAAGAAAGGTATTAAATTTCCTCCATACCTTGTTACTGAGATACCTCTTGAGCTGCGGAAATCTATTGGACTGCCTACTCGAGCAATGAATACGCCGAGATCCCCTACTAGTAGTTCATGGTCTGAATCAGCCGCCAGAGCTCTAAAACAGCGCAAATTTGCCGTAGTCAGCCACATTGCTATTGCTGCTGCTGTTCGGACCCCGGTCGAGGCCTCAACGGCGATCTTTCCGGCAGACAAAAGTGACTCCATATCACCAGATATTGATTTGCTGAAGTTTGTAAAATGGCTTATTGGTTGGTAATTTAAAATTGAGGTTGAGCCTTGTGATTAAATTCATCTCTGCGGCCAATATAACTACACAATAATTTTTATTTTTTATTTATTTATTTTTTAACAAAGACTCATTTGTGTTTGCTTGGTTTCCATATTTAGGAAAATCATGATTTTTCTGGCATAGAGTATTGTTTGAGGAAGATGACGATTTGTATATTTCGATTTCTGATACAGAGGATCGTCTATAAGACGCAACTGTAGAGCATACTCTCGTCATATTATAGATTGAGCTCTAGAGGGCAAAGACTCGTGGTGATAACGTGTTATAAAACTAGAGAGAAAAAAGAAAATATAGAGAATGCTTTCTCTTCGTTGTATTTTCATTATAACAGAAGTTCCTATTTATAGGAAAACTTCTTATCGCACAATCGTAATAATACAATTACATCAGGGGCAAGATAGTCATTCACATATATTATTTTAAATCTCACATATTATTTTAAATCTCACGAGGTGCATGCACCTATATTATAACACCAACGTCATAAGAAGATAAGAAAGCTATTCCACAGCATTCATTTTATGAAAGCTAGGAGTGTTGAACAAGTGTTGGAATTTGGGGCGTTTTGGCTGAAGGAATTTGATCTAGCGGGCTTGGGATTGTTAGCTACTGGGCTACGACCAAGTATCGATTCCATCTCCATCTGGAGGGGTCGGGGAAGATGCAGCAATGGTTTGACGCTCCTATGTGACGCGGTGGTTCGTGATTCGGAGATTGGCCTCGGCGGGTGGATTCGTGATTCCTCAGGGGCTTGTCTAGTTTTTTTCTCATCCTGGTTGTCGGGATCCTTTTCCCCTTTAGTAGCGGAAGCTTTAGCCCTTCGGTTTGGGTTGCGCGTTGCGACGGACTTGGGCTTAAATATCCAATCCGCCTTATCGGACTCCATGGTAGTTGTAAGTGGTATCTCCCTCCGTCATGAGCTTGACCCTCTGTTCGAGGTGTTTGTTGACATTATAGACCTCGTCTCTTTTAGATTGTGGTCGGTGTGAATATGTAGCTAGGGATCAAAACGGAGTAGCTCACAACATAGCAAGGTGGGCGATCTCGTCGCATACCTCGTGTGTTTGGAGTGATTCCCTCCCTATTTGGTTCTCTTCTTTTCTATCGGATGTATCGGACTAATGTCCTCTTTTGGTTATGTTATTTGGTAAAAAAAAAAAAAAAAAGAATTATGAAACGTCATAAGAAGATAAGAAAGCTATACCACAGCATTCATTTTATGAACCAAAAGAATTGTAGAGCAATCCCTACACAAAATCCCGAATTTCAGAAAACCAAGTTACCAAGAGAACAATTTTCTTTCAACATCTCAAGTAATCAGGAAAGAATATGCATCACAAAACTGAGCATCATTTGAAAGGAAACTGAGCATCATTTGAAATAAATAATGAATATCAGTAGTAACTTCTACAACATAATGAACCAATGGATTGGACACATTTTTCTTACAGTTCATGTGACTAATAATAATACACGATACAATTGACATGGCCGGTTTGACAAAATAAAAAATAAAAAATAAAAAAAATAAAGACCTAATTGTGGCTAGTATGACATGCTACATGATAACCCGCACACAAATACCAGTCAGACCAGAGTCCCCGGAATAAGCATTTAATTTAATAACCAGAAAAACAAAACCTTTTTTTCTCATGGCAGCAAAGCAAAACCTCAAGAACCGAAAGTATTTGTGTCTTGTTACGATGCCTCTTTAAGCAAGGGCATAAGTAAGTGTTTCTTCTTCTTTAGGCCGCCACATGGATTTCTGGGCACACAACAATCCTTCCTTGTCCTTTGAGTAAGTCATCCGGATGTCCCATTGCATGGACTTAAATATGCCCTCAAGTTCAGTAATGATCTCTACAGTGTCACGGACAATTATTTTTCCTTCTGGTCTCAAAATCCTATCAACCTCAGCAACCAAGCCCATGGAATTGCACCTGTAGCACCCAAAATCCAAAAGACTTAGAAAAAGATCATAAAATAACATAACATTAGCATAAACACAAATTCAAGGGAACATTATATGATGATACGTACTTCTTTTTTATCTTTGAGAAAAGATGGTCAGCATGGAGAAGGTCGTAAGATCTTGGGTATGTACTGAATGATTCGCACCAGTCATGATAAATTCCAAATAAACCCCGTTCGTAAATAATGGGCAATGTATCTGGAGCATCTATAGAGACAACATTCATAACCCACACATTCAGTTCCCTCATTGCAGCAGCCAATCTGCAAATTTAGAGTCATCCATTAGCACACATAATACCAAAAAGCTACTTAACAAGAACACAAAATATGATCATCGAGCAAGTTTGGAGAATAGATTTTTATCTTAAAATTGTTAAGAGTTAAAGAAAAGCAGATCAAATTTTTCTCCAATATGTTCATATTTTTTCTGCAGAGATTTCTATATATTGAGAAATTCAGCAATTCAAAAACAAAAATAAGGATATAGAATGGTAAACAATCTACATTCAGAAAGAATAGTTTGAATAACACGCAAATAAGAAATAAGAGTTGATTTTTGAAAACAGGAAAAAGTTGGTCAGGAAAATAATATCCCAAATTGAATGAAATAGAACTAGAAAAGAAAAACAAAGGACGGTTTTAAACCATCTTTAAGAGAGTAGGAAAAGTTTCTTTATGTCTTTGCTGACTCACCCTCCATAGACAGCTCGCATATCCATGACATTCCTAACAGTAGACCAGTTTATTCCCAGTCCTTTTAGATATGAATTGTTAACCACACGTTTCCAGTGTTTATAATCCGCATCAAAATCTTCAGGAGCCGGTTTGCCATAAACCCCAACCTCAGAGCTTGACAACCAGTAAGGCACCTTCTCAACCCTAGCAGGCCACTGCTCTGGCCACTGGGCCCCGCGTTCGGACGAAGTAACAGGAACTTTGTGCATGCATGTTTGCAAAGGCACATTCCTGAATGTTATATAGACACTCAAAAATGGTCAAAATAAAAAACTTGAATTTAAGCGAAAAATCTTGCAGACTCGTGCTATAATCAAAACCAATGTTCCTACTGATAAAATAAAAACACATACCAGGCAGCATTTGCATCATCAGAATCTTGACATAGAGGGGGCTCACTTTTTGACCTCTGTTCATAGCATTCATTTGTAGTGGGCTTACGGTACACGGCGATTCCAACTCCATTTATTCTGTCCTTGGTTATCGAGACAACTTCCCAGCACATTGCTTGTGTCAACTTCTTCATGGCTGACACAAGTAATACAAGGACTATAAACTTTTGGTCTAAGTATCAAAACAACATTATGAACTTTTGTTTAAGTGGCTAAGAAAATGCACCTTCCCATATCTCAACATCCTCTGCAAGTTTCTGGTAAACGGGCGTTGCAGACCAAACAAAGAAACCTCCAGGTCGCAGTACACGGTTCAGCTCCACGAGAAGCTTGCCACCTGAGCAGCGCATTAAACAATATCATGTCGATTCAAAATAAAAACTATGTCATTACAAATTAGTAATGTTTCTTTACGAATGTAATTCGCAGTCAGTACCTTCGATATGCCAGGGCACCCTACAACGTGCACAATGAACAACATCAAAAACTCTGCCAGGATACGGAAGTCTCTTGGTACCCATAACAGCAGATATTGCTGGGATTCCTCTCTCGAGTGCAAATTGAACCTGAGCCTCATGTTCGTCTTTTGGGGCTAATGACATGGTCAGCACATCCCTATCAAAGAGGAAACCCCCAAAACTAGCAACCCCACAGCCAACGTCAAGAACCACACGCGAATGCTTGCCCCAGGCAATATCAGGTACAGACTACACAAGAAAATGTGCCAAAGCAAGTTAGCATAGCAACTCACTCATTGGGGTCAGTAAACAGGTTTCTGCATCTACTCTAACAAGAAGGAAAAAGAGACATATAAACAGTAGCAACTGCAACCGAGCACACGTTGATTTGAAAAGCAACAACACAACTCCAACCAATTACTTTAAAATCCACAAAGATATTCATAAAAATGAAACAGCGATCTTTAAAAAACAATAGCACACACAAGGAAACCCATAGTTAGTTACCAAATATATATGCAACAGCTGTTACCAAAAACAAATGCAACAGTCGAAAAGAGATGGCTGCAGATGCAGATACTAGAGTAATAAAAGAAAGCAAGAGCAATATCTGTTACCTGTTGTATGAAGTCAATGTAGTGAAGCGCACCATGCTTAAACTGGGTGCCACCACCAGGAAACGTAAGATATTCACCACTAACTTTAACCCAATTCTGGTGTCCCTTAACTTCTGCAAGCTTGGTATGTGGCACATTTTGGTACCAGATCTGAGAGAACAGGAATGCCAAATAAATAAATAAAGATTGAATGAATGAAAGAAAGAACAAAACAAATTAAGACAAAAAACATACTCTTTTTGATAAATTATACCTGCTCCCGACTTTTGGGCCACTCAATTGAACGTCGATATCCTTCAGGAAGGGGAACAAGGCAGGTAGGTGAGTGTTCAGGGCAGTGCCTCTCCCTGTGTTCGTAGTGCTTAGTTGAAGGAAGCTTTTTTATTGCCTCCAAGTTATCAAGGCACGGAATGTAATCCGTCCCGGCAGTGGTTTTACAAACCTTCCAGCTGTATTTAATCTGATTTTCCGGTTGGGCATTTTTCTCATTTTTTGACTCTGTTGCCTGAGTCGGAAATGATCCGTTCTGAGTTGCAGACTCATCCGTTAGCTCCGATTGGGCTCCAGAAGGAAACACTTCACTTGATTTGTTCTTTTCCTCAGCAGACTTCTCATCCGTCTTGTTCTCCACCTTCTTGTCTGTCTGACCCTCTTCCTTATCCCCATCCGTTTTCCCCAAATCTTCTTCAGAATTCTTCCCCCCGTCATCTGGGGTGCTGTTTTCCTGATTTTCGGAGTCTTGATTCGCCTGGGATTCCACATCAGATTTCTTTTCGCCGTCTCCGTTTTCTGGCTCATTATTAGTCCCCTCATCCTTTCCCTCATTTCCAGCCTTCACGTCACCGGATTCCTCGGTTTTCTTTGCTGGCTCCTCCGAAGGATTATTTTTATCCACCTGATTATTCAAACCAGTCTCATCTGATGTATCTTTCTTATCCACCTGGTCATTTTTCATTTCCTCCTTGGTGGCCTCCTCAGGCAAATCGCCAGGGTTATCATCAAACTGCTTCAGCTTTCCCTCGTCGGTTTGGCTTTTGCCGTTATCTTCGTTTGCATTATTGTTAGAGTCCTCGTTTTTAGCCTCGACTGTGGTCTCTGCAGCAGGCGTTGTCACCTCATTTTTTGTGTCCTGCGAGACATCCAGATTCTGAACAGGGACCACAGAGGATGATGTCATCATCCATATCCCGACCAGGCATAGGGCCACAAAGACCACAATCATGACGGTCGAACAATAGCCTGATGAAGATTTCCGACCATCAACTCTAGAGTATTTTCCTAAAGCCATGGTTTCGCTTGTATGTTCCGATGGATCTGAGGATCTTTTTATTTTATTACACCTACAACACAAGTGAATCATATTAATTGACCATTAAACCTGTTTCGTGATGATTGTATCAGACTTCATTTAGAATCATGCAAGCACAGGCGTAGCAGCAACTGTTAGGACAGCAGGTACTACGACCTACTCACTAGCAAGCATTCAAATTCTTCAAACCTAAATCATAATTGCCTTACCAGCTAAGTACGAAATCACAAAAGTGACAAGCAGCATAATTTATTGCACCAAGAAGATCTGGTCATAATACCAACAGATATAAAATCCAGATATTCATCAGATCACAATTAGATACGCATAAATCGACGATCAAAACAGACGATATTCAGAAAGATTCGCTTGCTTTCGAAATTGGATCACATTTGCGTTAATCTAAACAATGTATGTTTAAATGTTCGAAAGCGAAGTTGAATGCCAATAAATCTTACCAAACAAACAAACTTCAGCGGACCAGATCTAAAATGTAAATTGAAATCAAATAAGGAACGAATCTCGAAAAAAGAAGGAACGATTTGAGATTTCTCGACGCGCATTACGAACACAAAAGGAGACGAGAGAATCAGCTGGGACAATGACATACCTTTCCCTTCAAGTTATCAACACAGATCTGAGACGAATAAAGCTCAAGCTCCGCTCATTATCATAGGATAACTTCTGTGACTCTCGTTAAAGAAGGTTGTAGAGAAGAATAAATAGAACACGCACGACAGCAGAAAGAGGCTTCCTGAGTTCCTTCCCTTTTATTTATTAAACTTTCTGAAATTTACTATTCGTCTATTCGAGTAATTTTGAATAGTCACACGTAGGGCCATTTTTAATTTTTATATATTCTATTTAGGACTGGAGACGGTGAGGAGATGGGATGCGACCACAGATTCACTGATTCACATCACAATTTATTTATTTATTTTTTTATTTTTTTAATATATAACTTGTGAAAACAGGATTGTTTTTTGACTTTTTGACAGAAAACAAAAATGACAAAAATGGAGGAGAAAACCGTGAAAGACGTCCGTGAATATCTACTGTACACCTACTAGTATAGAGCCCGTGCGATGCACGGGTGCACAATTTTAAGGTTATTTATTCAAACTTATAATTATATACATGAATACAAAAAAATGTACGGGATATATATAGTACGTGACCCGTGCGAGACACGGATATATTTATTTGAGGAATACTATATTATGAGATGCAATATTCAATAAAAGTTTTATAATACGCAGGAAAATTGTACAATAAGATAGTATTCGACAAACAAACAATCATATATTATTAAAGACTTCCTTGTACACAACATTATGAGTTTGATTTTTCATACAATAATAAGATTTTTTGTAAAAAGATAAGAAAGAATTTTCAATCTACACAAACTTTAAACATTAGATGTATTTACGTAAATCAATGACTATATAGACAACTAAACCCTTCAATTTAAACTTGGCATCTACTTTATTTATGGGTGACGTAAAATAAGGATTTAATTTTGACCGATTAAATCTTTATTCATAGGCTTGACATATAAAACTGATTTGAAGGGATTTTCTTAACTAAACCGATGTTATGGGATAAAACAAATTTATACTTACCTTTGACTTTTCTGGAAAGGTAAAAAAATCGGTTCTGATTTTTACCCCATAACAAATCTTTAATGTCAAGCCTATAAATAACAAAACAAATCTGTAATTAATATCATTCTATTTCCAGCAAGCATTAATTACCTTTGACTTTTCTGCCTACTATTTCTAGTAAATAGGATGACTTTTTATATAAGTATAGATTTCATATAATGCAAAGACTGAGATCATAAAAAGGAATCCTAAAAACTGAAACAATATATGTGCATAATTTAAGGCCATTAAGAAATCAATCTCTAAATCAGATTTGATTTTCAGAATATGTTTTTTTATTTCGAATCCATACACATATAATAAGAATTACTATTTAACAAAAATAGTAGCAAAAAAATAGGAGAGAATTTAATGCAACCTATAAATAGTAAGTTTTATTATTTTTTATTTTTATCTTAGAAAAATCAACATTTAATGTTGCATTAAATTTTTTGCTTTAATTCATTTTATTATTTAAAAATTCTAGCTAAGATCTATTAAGTGTGCATTTTTCATTTTTATTTTATTTTTTCATAGAAACAACGAAGAACATTAAAATCTCAGTCTCTATATTTATAAAATCTCAATTGAAAAGGTAATAAAAAATTTAGAATATCGGTCTTTATATTTATGCCTTTCAAAAAAAATTATTGAATGCTATTCGTTTAATATCATTTTCCACTAATCATCAAAATTTTTATTTGGAACGTGTGATAATAAACTTGGTAATGTTTATCATTTATTTGTTTACCAATCTATTGTTTTTTCTTTACTCAGTTTCAAAAGGTAAAATAATTATCAAATTATCAGTCTCAATAATTGTGCATTTAAAAAAAATATATTTAATGATAATATATCATTTGTTAATAGTACACAATTTTGAAAACTCCATTATAAATTGTATGTTGATATAATCATTTTATAAATGCAACAGACTTTGTTAAATCTCCATGAAAATATGATAAAACAAAATGAGATGATCAACTTTGTATAGAAATAAAATAAAATCAATAAATCAATATGAAGTTCAAAGGAAATTAACATAATGAATAATTTGTATAGTACACGGATCTAAAAAATAATACTCACGTGGATTCTAAAATTCAAGTTTATACTTATCATCATGTTCTAGAAATTGAATAACATATTTTCGGCAAGATTTTTTTAAATAATTTTAGACATGTTTTATTTATAAAATAGTTTAGAAAGATTTTAGGTAACTTCACATCTTCAATAATGATATATAAAATTTTAGATACTTTACATACGTTATATAATATTTTAGGTGTTTTTAATATTTTAAACATACATTTTTTATGTTATTTTATACAAGATAAATTTATATTGTTTACAACTGATATACGATAAATTATATCACATATTAACTCCACATTCTAATTACAATTATTAGTTAATATCTCCACATCTTAATTACAATTATTAGTTAATATTGTTTACCCTCATATTTAATTTATAATTATTAATTAATATTATTTACTGTCATCGTTAATTCATAATTATTATTTAATATTATTTACCCGTGCATCGCACGAGCTACACGCTAGTTTCATACAAAATGGAATTCTTTCCAACCAATAGATGTCATAGCAAATATTAACTCTTAACTATTAGACTATTAGTACATACCGAGCAAATTGTGTACTGATTTTATAAAGTTAAAACGATTCATGTTAGGTAATTTTACATTTTATGCATGTTGAACGGTCGGTTTTAAATATTGTTTCATAGAATGTAAAAGTGTATTATATTATTTTTATGAGATGTCGAATTTCAAAATTAATAGAATTCTTCTTCATAGAAATTTTAAATGTAACAATATTCTTTGGTATACACTACTAATAATATCTATATTTAAAGTTTATATTTTTATTTATCGGAAAAAAAATCCTTAATTTAAGGAATCATATATCTTCAATCAGTCCACATCTATATACATTCTTCACAATTTTAAATCTTGAATTTGATGAGAATTCGTATCTATGAGTGCAAAATATGGTTTAACAAATTAATTTTTTATTATTATTCCAGCCATACTTCTTTATACGATTTTTTGTGAAAATACAAAAGTAAATTCTTAATTTTAAATCAGCCGTACATTAAAGAGTACAAATTTGTTGAAATTACAAAAGTAGTTTTTTACTTTTAAACAGACGTAAATATAAATCAGTCATAAAAATGTAATATTTGTTTACCATTTAAATATTAAATCAGCCGTAATTAATGTTGTTTGTTTTAGTTGCCACAATTTTCTCCAAACTAAATTAACAACTGTCATAATTTAATGGCAACATTTAATGCTGCTCTATTTTTAGGAGACATTAAATGTATTTGGTGGGAAAAACTTGCTAAAAGTGTTAAATGGTTAATCTTTTAATATAATGATAGATGTATGATGGTACATTGAAATGGAATTTGATAGGAATGTAATAAGTTGAATAATGAAATGAATCTATAGTAAGTGTATGATGGTACATTGGAATGGAATTTGATAGGAATGTAATAAGTTGAATAATGAAATGAATCTATAGTAATATAAAGAGGTTGTTGAAAAAATATTTTTATAGTAAATTTGACTAAAAAAATAAATGGTTTGACTTACTATTAGTGGAAATTTCAGAAAAAACACATGTAAATCTTTAGGAATCAAATTTAATTGAGATATCCTAAAAAAAATTAAAAATTCTTATGGTAACAAATTTGGAGAATCTTATACCTATATTTAATTGTTTTAAATATTAATCCCATAGGAATCTATTTTTATTGGTAACAAATTTGAAGATTCTTATGTCAAAAATTTGAGATTTTGAATTGATATATCCCAACAATTACGGATATTTTTCCATTCAAATTAATGTTGTAAATCAAATAAAAAATTATTGCGAGAATAATTGATGATATACTAAATATTGATAAACTCCAATCCTCCATAAATTATTAATATTTATGAATTTGTGTGTAAATAACTAAATATATTGAATTGTTTTTCGTAAATCTATTACTATATAATAGAGAGGGATTTACTTGACATAATATTAAAATTTTCGCTTACAATTTTCAAAGTTACTATTCTTAGTAATATTTTTCTTGGAAATGGCGGCTAAATGAAAATTCGAATTCAATTTTAAAATTTTTTTATTTGAGAAAGATATTATGTAAACCTTAATTCTTAAAAACATGGTCATAATATTGATCATAGAGATTTGTTACCATAATTGTAGGAAAATCAAAGGAGTATCTTCTTTAATTTCATCCATAATATTATTGGTAGAGATAATATAGGAAATATATTACATATATAATAATAATAATAATAATAATAATAATAATATCTATTTTTTTTCCCCGAAACGATAGGTGCAACTATTATAAAACTCAAAGGCGAACAATGTTCGAATACAACGGATAACAAAATACAGAGAAACATGAGAGACACGTCACAGACGGTCTAGAGCCTCGACTGAAATACAATAAATCTCAAACATCAACAAAGAGAAATAAAAGAAAGTAACCCTCACCACTGCTAAAAGCCTAGCAACAAGTTTCAATCTCCTGAACAAACCTAGAAAAACTGAAAAACAGAAAGAAGAAAAAGATCACAGCAAAGCAAAGAAAACTAGACAGCAGCTAAGAATTGAAGCCAATCGGAGTGAGCCATTCTGACAAGAACATGATCTGGAATGAAAGTCTTTTGGAAGATCCATAAGTTTCTGGGCTTCCAAAGCCACCAAAGCATATATGTGGATAGTTGAATCCTTGCTTCAGTTACTTCCGAATGATCCAAAGAGCAGACTCTATACCACCAATCTTTGAAGGATATGTCCCTGCTGCTTAGGTCAGTCCACTGAACTGGACAGAGTTTCCAGACATTCTCAGCTCTTGGACAAGAAATAAAGAGATGTTGCAATGTTTCTTGATCTTCACCACAGATGGCACAGGTTATGTCAATGTGCAGTCCCCTTTTCCAAAGATTAGAGGCAACAGGAAGAGTGCCACTGAGACATTTCCACATAAAGAATTTAAGCTTAGGTGCAACCTTTAAATGCCAGAACCTCATTTTAGCATGTTTCTTGATGTTAGAAGCACTACTGCTTTCAGGAAATCAGCCTGCAGGAGTTTTTGATGAGAAAGATGTCTATATGTACTGGACACTGAAAAGACTCCTTTTTTATCCAAGCTCCAGTAATGTCTATCATTTCTGTCTGGATGCAGTGTGTCTATATC